CCCCAAAACCCCAAAACCCCATGAGTTAGAGATAAATTTTAAAGTTGGAGTTTTTTGTTGTACAATTAAAAATTGAGCTATTATTTGATTACTGAAGCTTCATTATAAATGGTAGAGGGATTAGAGTCATTCATACTCAGTGAAATATGGAGTGTTTTAAAAAATAAATCAATAAAAATTGTGGGTATAGATGTAATTTAGCAGAGCTATATGGATAAATTAGTTGAAGAAGTAGTAAGATTAGACAAGCAAGGTAAAAATTCCGTTAATTCATTTGAATACTTGATCAAAATCATGAATGGGCTGGAATAATTAATGTAATGGTATACTTGGCAGAATACCACAGAAAAAGGGATCATTTTTTAAAAACACAATAATGCATGAGTTAACGAAGAAGAATAATAAATGTTTTAGTAGTAAGTTAAAAAGGAGGATGTAATAGACAAAGACATTCTGAAGTTGAAAAAAGAGAAACTTGAGTAGGTTTTCGCTATTGACATGGTTTTAGTTTAAAATAAGTACGAAGGTTTATTGTCCTTTAAAGGACCTTTGGAGGATTAATTTGATATTTTCGATAAGCCTGACTTATTCCATGTTTAGGAGTAAGGGAAAAAATACCTCTGCTTCGGGGGATAGTAGCATGCTAAGATCCAGCATTTCTACTAAAAGCATCTCCAAGATAAGAAGTATGCTGAGCTAGAATTATCAGCTGCTGTAGAATCTTCATAATTAAAGGAACAAAAATTAGTTTTTACTAATTTTATCCTCTTCTTCATCAAATAAGAAGAGATTAAGGTGATAATTCTAGATTAAATGGATAGTAATTAAGATCAGGATTAGATTTAAATCCTTTTTTTGAAAACACAAACACCTACGCCTGAGTTAACCATAGAAATATATGTTAAAAGGGAATGGACGTTCCATTTAAATAAAGATGACAAAAATATTTAAGCTGTAGAGGAGAAGGAGGAGCTTAAAAAATTAAACGAAATATTCGATAAGTGCAAACTACAAAATATAGATCACTGTGAATGGTTTAAAATAGGAAAGAAGAAATATGTCTTCACTTGTGAAGCTAATAAGTTTCCTTAAGCACTAGATCCCTACAACTAAAATCTTTACAACTATTAGCTAAAAGAAATGATATAGAAACTTCAGTGGAATATGATTGAGTCCTTTAAATTTCCAGAAAATTATAATGATCCCAAATTCTATAAAGTGAATGAATTTACTTGTACAGAAACACTTTATCGAACGAGTTTTGAGTTTAAATATGTGGCATTCAAATTCATGAAAACCTTAACAAAAAGAGACCCAAGATTGAATGAAATTCAAGCCACAATTGACATAATGAATCAAGAACTTAGTTAGGTCAATTTAGCTACTGTAATAGAGATAAAGAAAATCTACAATAAGCAAATTTATCAAACAGTAGGAAGTGAATTTGAAAGAATGTTATAAAAGCATCCATTGATATCAGGACTGAACTTAGTAAAGCATCTTTTTCATGGTTCAAGATTAAGTGATCCATTAAATATCTTCTCATTTGAAAGTGGACTTGACATGAGGCATAGTAATCAAGGGGCAAATGGGATTGGAATTTATTTTGCAGATAATTCTTGCTACTCTAATAATTATGCTTATAATGCTAATGGTAAAAAATAGATGTTATTCTGTACTGTCATAACTGGATTATCATCTAGTTAAGGCGGAGGATAATAAGCAAGAATGCCTGCTGCTATACCAGGCAAACAAGGTGTATTGTATGATTCATTTAATAATGGAGATGGAGGCCATTATATTATTTATGACAATCAAAAATCATATCCAGGATATTTAATCCCT